CATATCCTTGGGATCAAGCTTATGCGAGATCGTAAACAAAGGATATTAGGCTTGTCTCAAGCGCTTTACATTGATACTATTCTTGCAAGGTTTAACATGCAAAATTCAAAAAAGGGATTTCTTCCTTTTAGACATGGAATTACTTTATCAAAAGATCAGTTGCCCAAAACAACTGATGAGATAGAGAGAATGAAGGCGGTCCCTTATGCATCTGTTGTAGGGAGTCTCATGTATGCTAAGTTATGTACTAGACCGGATATCTGCTTTGCTGTTGGCATGGTTAGTAGATTCCAGTCTAATCCTGGGCAAGAACATTGGACAGCAGTTAAGCATATAATCAAATACCTGAAAAGGACTAGAGATTACATGCTTGTTTTCCATCCTGCAAAATCTTGTACCTATTGGGTATACAGATTCAGATTTCCAGTCAGATAGAGATTCAAGAAAGTCAACCTCAGGATATGTATTTACTCTGGGAGGTGGAACCGTAATATGGAGGAGTATCAAGCAATCTTGTGTTGCTGATTCCACCATGGAAGCTGAATATGTAGCTGCCTCTGAAGCGGCTAAGGAGGCTGTTTGGCTTGGAAACTTCCTAAAAGAGCTTGGAGTGGTTCCTTCGGTTGAAGCACCAATCACACTTTATTGTGATAACAGTGGTGCAGTTGCTAACTCGAAAGAACCGCGAAGCCATAAAAGGAGTAAGCACATCGAGAGGAAATATCATTTGATTCGTGATATAACTCAAAGGGGTGATGTGAGAGTATTGAAGATTGAATCGAAGAACAATTTGGCGGACCCATTTACAAAAGGCTTACCTCAGAAGGCTTTTGATAAGCATGTGGAAGAAATGGGTGTTAAAATTGTGAATGCATGGTTATAAGTCTAAGTGGGAGATTGTTGGGATATACTATTAACCATGTAATTGTGTTATAGTATTTTTTTTATTTAATCCCTTGTAAAGATTTTTTATGTTATTTATTTAATATAATAATTTTTTGTTTAAATAGATCATTATGTATATATGTGTGTCCATTGCTTATATAGTAGACAATTTTGTGTATGGAGTATTTTAACTCATACACGGAAGATTAAAATTATTGGTGCATATAAGTTATAAATTTATGTTCACGATCAAAGATGAAGTAGGACGAACATCTTGATGATCGTAGCACAAGATTAAATATAATTTGATCTTAATTATGAGAATGGTTAAATTCAACTTCTTGTGCTAGTACATTTTGTATGTATTGAACGGACCAATTAGAGACATTTGTTTATGTTCTGAATATTTATAAATAAATTCTCTAGTCCACTACATGTACTTATACTCTCAATCTTGATATAATTATTATGATCTATGTAATTTATTTTATTGTTTTAATCTATTAAAAGGTGAGACTTTTTGATGAGTCAATAAATTCCTAATAGATTAGATAATGACAAATTACATTAGTGAAATAATAATTAGTTGATAGAACCGTGTCTCGGACCCGAGTTGAAGACACCCCTTTATGGTTACTTATAAGTTTTCACGTGAAAACCCTACAGGTGGATTTTAGATCCGTCACGTGAAATAAGTTAAGTAAATATAATAAAGGATTAATTTAGTCAATGAATTAAATTTTCAGATAATTTTGATTTAATTGATTGGTGTCGATAATTCTAACACGAGGGGTTAAATAAGATGTAGTGGTAGATTTTGAAATTAAATCGAGGAGTGCAATTACAGAATTTTAGTGGAATACTTTGTAATTTATTGCGATATGGTTAATTCGTTCATTTGAGAATTATTATCGTAGTTGGAAGCCTCTATTAAATATATCTACGGTCCCTACTATGCCTGATTAATTGACCAAGTTTGAAAAGAAGGACAAATTAATTTTATTGTTGATCTTCTTTAAAGGATGAATTATTTGAGAATTAAAGATTGAGTTAGTGACAAAAACGTTTGGCTTTAAATGGATGAAAACGTTTTTGTTCTTATTACAAAAACGTTTGGCCTTTAATGGATGAAAACGGTTTTGTTCTTATTACAAAATCGTTTGGCCTTTAATGGATGAAAACGTTTTTATCTCAATTTATTCTCATGATCCTCTTGATTGCTAATTAAGCCTGAAATTTATTTGGACGTTTTTCCTATTCATTCTTGAGTTGGAAAACTAGATAAATAGGCTGAATGTGGCATGAAAGAGATCATCTTTTGAAAAACAAGTCATACTTGCCCACACAAGTAACTTGGTAGTAACAGTCAATCAGGAAATAGGAGAAGATCGTAGCTCTGGATCCTTGGCATCTGGACGACTTTTGTAGAAGTTTCAACAGGTTAGTGCTCTTCTAAATTCGTTTATGTTATATTGTTTAGTCTATATGTAAGATTTGTGATCCTGAATATAGCTTCCGTTGTGCATATTCTAACAGTAATAGTATATAATTACAATTTGCGGCTATTTTAAACCATAAAAAAGGGAAATTAGGCATTTAAACTTAAAGTTCATAAGTCCTGTATTTTAGTAAACAAAATTATTCATCAAAATTCAAATACAAAATTTAAGAAATGAAATTAGGATAAAGGAGACATACACAATGTAGACTTTGGTTTCCCTTTCAAAATCTTGATATTTTTTTGTTGTTGTTGTATGTATATTTTGATTAAAGGACTAATGACACACTACTTATATAGTGGCCATGGTGTTAACCATTTAATTTTTTTCTATTTTTGGTCAGACTTTCTTGTTCATAGATAGAATATATATAAATAAATTAATCAATGAGATATAGACATTCAAGATAATTATGTCATTAATGGTTATAGGTTGATTATTTTTCCTAAGTAGGTTGTTGATGTCATGATAAAATCATCATTGACGTAATAATTTACTTCTTAAATATTTGAAAAAGATATACACCCTCGTTTCAATTTGTCACACCTACTTTCCTTTTAAATCCATTAAAAATATAATTATTATTTTTCTTTTTATATATTTGAAAACTAGATATGTCAGATACATGCATCTGATGAACAAAATTTGGCATGATGATAATTTTGAAAACTCATGAAAATGCACATATTAGGCCCTAAACAAATAAAATTTGTATTGTTTACCCTATTAAATTCAGTAATGTTGAAAGTAAAAATCATGGGACAATATAACATTTACTAAATTTGACCAATAAAATACAGTAGAAAAATATATTCAACCTTTTCCTCTTTTTAAAGTGGTCAAAAAAAGTTATAAAGTGAATTTATAAGTGACATGTGCCACTATTAAATGGTTACCTCTTGGGTTCAATTTTCAAAGTCCTTGTTAAACCACGTGGTCAGGCTATTCATAGAACAACCATGTGTCACTTTCCAAGGGCTAGTTTGCTATTTTATTAAACCCAGTGTACGTTCAAATATACTTCTTGAAAAGAAATATAAATGATCGTATGCAATATATTTACCCAACTATGAGTCGGGATTGATCCCACAGAGAATATGGAAGAATATTGTCAATAGCAAATATTTAACTCGATAGTCGTTATATAACAATGGGGGGGGGGGGGTTTAATTTGAAATAAAATAAACAAACAATAAAAAGATAGCTTTGAACTAAGTATTTATTTATATTCAAATTATTAAAAGTAACTAGGAATGTGTTCCCCATAAGCTCATAACGCAGTAATCCTAGTAATAGTAATCCTTTTCTAGTGTATTACATGCAAAGTGATAAGTTAGGTATCTCTAAATCCTTGGTCCGGCATCTAGAGAATTTCACCCCGCACCTTGGTCCGGCTACGTGTGTATAATTTACTAACCCTTACCTTTACCTCATATTAGACATCATAATCGATGTTTGGCTTAGTTATTACTTCGCACCAATCGACACTAGCCTATTAGATAGTATCACACTAAATCTATGTTGATAATTCTTTTCTTGTTAATTACCTCCTTGGTCCGGCAAGTAGTAACAAGGCGAGTTCTAACGTTGGCCACCGTTAAAAAGACTTCTGAACGAAAGAATTATCAATGCATGCAAAATACTAGTCAAGAATTGCTTATTTACTATTCATACTTTGTTAATCGTTCATGGTTCCCACAACCCTAGTTATGAAAGTTAGTTACTAATTATCTCAAAAACACAATCAAAATTTATTAAAATAAATATGCTTGTGTTAATCATAAAAAGTTAAGAACAATAGCTAAACTATCTTTTATTAATCACGAATACAAATAAATAATAAAGGAGAAGAAAGAATAAACCACAATTCTCCGGCCTCCATGGCGGCTCTTCCAAAGTTCCTAAGCTAGAAGAAAATTTATATTGTGTCTTGTATCTTGGTTCTTGGCTTCCTCCCCAAATAATTATTTCTGTGCACTATTTATAAATATAGAAAACTCTAAATATAGTAATTGAGTCCAAATTAAATTAGGAATCCAAAACCAAAAGGAATTGGATTCCTTTTATTTTTCCCGCCGCGTGAATCATGGTGCTGCCGCCTCAACATATTTCTTCATTATTCACTTGCTGCCACGTGGCAGCAGCAAACATCAAAATTGAAATTCGTCAATTGCAGCCGTCATTCTCATGTATATATAAATATATTATTTTATTCAATTTAATTCATTAAGCTATCTGCTTAATTTCCTTCTTCAACCTTTCATCTTTAATTCGTTTTAGCTCCAAACTTCTTCATTTTTCCACCAATTTAATCCTACAAATAAAATATGTAATTTAGCACAATTTATAAAATTCATGCTCAAAAAGGACAAATATAAATAATAAATGTGAGAAAATAATGATTAAAAATATGTATTTTTAGCCTCACATCACCCATGGAAATGAAATACCTCTTCACATTTTTTCTACCTTCCCACCAAGAAATTTTTCCTTTATAAGCTCCCAAATGGTCTAATGGTTTCCCTGCATTGAAAATTTCATTGAGTTTTTCTTTTTCCATTTTATAATTTTTAGTTTGAAATTCAATAGCTTTCTCGGCTTTTAGATTTTTCTAACATGGAGAAAGCTGATGAAAACACGGTAACTTCAAATGTAGAGAATGAAAATGTGGAACTGAATGGTAATTTTGATGTTCACTCGAAAAAAATGAATCGTTTTTTGTGAATAACTAATGAAAAATATTCTTTGATTTTTTCAGGTGGATCGCAAGGAAGTGTTGCTTCAAGTGTAGCTGAGGTTGAAACCCAACAACCACCTATTCAAGGTATCAAAATTTTGCGAATTGATTTCTATAGCAAGTCAATTTCAATTTGTATCAAAATTAAAGTAGGAAACATTTTTTCCTTTATTTCTCGATGTGAAATAATCTTTCGTTGAACAGAAATCACATGTGTATTAAGGGAATTATATTACTAAAATGAAGATAAAAACATCAAGTTCAACCATATGACTTTTGTTTCCACAAGAGGTGAAGGACCAAATGGAAAGAAGACTGAAGGAGTGTTATACTCGTGTAAGAAGAAAGATGAAGTGGGGATAGTTTGTCTTTGTCATGGTGATCTTCTAAACGCAGCTGAATTTGTCGAACACACTGGTGGAGGTTATGTAGAACACCATATAAACCATATATTTATTGATGGAAAATAGATTAAGAAGCATTGTTATTGATGTTATTTGATATTTCCTTTTGTTTTTGTACCAAATAAATTCAATGTCTATTGCCCAAAAAGGCATTAGCTTTTGTATCATTGTTATTTCATTGTTCCTTTTGTTGTTGTATTGACTAAAGTTCCTCCCCTCAATGTTATATTAAGGTTATTTTTCAATGATTTGGCTTATTTTTTTCTATGCGATGCTTTTTTTTAAGCTTAATTAGAAGCCAGTGATAGTTTCTATTCTACAAAAATATTGATCCCTTATTCTTTTTTTTTAAAAAAAACAATCACAAGCCACTAAACTAAATTAGCCTATTTTTAAAAAACATTTCACTTGCTCCTTAACATGAGAGAGGAAAAGAGAATTACATGTGAGTGAATATCACAGGGCTAATATCATCTATCTTAACTCGTCTAAATGTTGTAAAATATGTCATTTTTTAATTAGTTATATTCGATTATGTGTACTTTTGTTCCTCTCTTGTAAGTTTTTAAATTATTAATGTGTTTATTAGGGTTTGGGGTTTAATTTTTTATAGGATTTCTATGTTCTTTTTCCCACTAAAAATTTTCATTGCTTGCTAAATATAACTTGTTTTCTTTATTCATCTGGATTACCCGTGCCGGTGAATCGATCTAAACCCACCATTGCCATTAGAGTACGAAAATGAAAGCACCAATTTAACCAACCCAATAACAAGACCAACTCAATTCAAATTCAAACAACCGACAAATCTATTTCATTAACTCGTAATTGGAATTACAAAGGAATTTAAGAAATAAATGAAAATTGAAGAACACAAGCAAAATAAAGGGGATGAGAAGCAGAACTCATAAAAAGGAGATGAGAGGACTAGACATTTTTTCTCAACAATTTGTATATGTCTAATTTTCAATCCCAAGTCGTATTTATCAACCCAAATCCCAAACATAGTCTCTTAATTCGGTGTTGGGATGTTTGCCCATATTGATCCTTGCCCGTTCATAACACTGCTTTTGTGAACCAAGAAACTTCATGTGCTCCACACTCTTGCATTTCAGCAACGTCGTGATCTTCCCTTCAGATGCCCAAAACAACATCAATTCGTCTGAGAACCTGTGAACCAACCTCGAATAAAATGTATCACCAGCGCCAAAGAGCTCAACTAGGAGCATCAACGTGACAACGCCATCGTCCGTAGTACAACTGCCGTAAGAGAATATAATCTCCATTGAAGGAGGCGGAAAAAGCAAAACCCACCCTATAGAATTTTGTAGGTATGGAATGCAAATTAAGAAAGAAAGTAGAGTGAAATGGGCATTTTTATTTTTTTTAGATGTAACGGAGGTTTTAACCACTGCAAATTTAATAAAATTAGTGAAGGGTATATAAACTCCCTCAATTTGATACAATTTGCGAGGTTGATTGTAACCCCACAATTAAACCTCCACAAATCAGGTGTTTTTTATGTGAAGTGGGTCCCACATATTCCAAATTGAATTAGAATCAAATAAGAATAACAATCAATTATCTTCCAATTGAAGTTTTGTTTATCTAATGGACAAAGAAGTCAAATATAACATAAAAACATGAATTAATGGCTAACCTTCAAAGGTTTTTTTTCTTAATTTTCTTAGATATATTCATATTATAATAAAGTTGATAACAAATAGGGATGGCAACGGGGCGAGACGTATTTACAGATATGTGGGGTAGGGTGGGTTTGACTATATGAGGGTGGGGGACAGAGAGGAACGGGTCAAAATAAAATAATGTGGAGGTACGATTTAGGATTTAACATGATATGGAAAACTGAAAATCTTGACTCCGCCACTGGTGGAAAGTATTTGTTTCACCAGCCCTAGGTTGCTCTTTCTTCTTTCTTAACCATTCACCTCTTTGGTTGAAGATTTTTAGTTGTTCCATTAATGGCAACGGAGGTGAGAAATGGATGCCCTTCTTGTTCAAGCAATTAAACAATCAGTCCCACCAAATGCTTCATTCATGGAAAGGAATTTTATTATTCGAGTGCAACTGACCAAAGTATTCTTAACATAAATACCTATTAAGGAAGAATATTGAGTTAAAACTGTTTGATAAAAGGTTCTGACCCCACTTGGATGCTCTTCTTCTCCCAAGTGTAATCAGTTTGTACTTTTCGTATATGGTCAAGACATATCACAACCAGATGATCATTCATTAGATTTTCATGGTCATGTTAAAATAATGAAAAAAATTTCTCATCGGTAGTTAATGATATGAGTGGTCTTCTTGTAAGGTTAGGGAAATCCTCCTCCCTTTGAGCTAATTTTTAGTGTGTGACTTAAGTCCAAAGCCTATAATTTTTCATGGTATCAGAGCATGATCTATTTCACCAGACTTCCATTTGTCCAGTCCTAAGCGTGAAGTGGGGTGTTAAAGAATGAAAAAGTCTCACATCGATGATTAATGAGATAGATGGTGTTGGGTTTTACAGGTGTGACCAGGAAAATTGAAGAGTTGTGACTCTCCTGAAGGGTTGTGACTTTGCCGAAGGGTTGTAACCTTTATGAAAGGTGGTGTCTTTTCTAAAGGGTTGTGACCATTTGAAAGGTTGTTCCTTTTCCAATGGGTTGTGACCTTTCTGAAAGTTGTCTTTTTTCCAAAAAGTTGTCACATTTTTCCCTTTGTTGGCTATAAATTTGGTTGTGCCTTTTCCAAATTGTTTTTCCTATATTCTTGGTTTTTTATAACTATGAGAAGAAGTAAATGAACACATGTTGTCTCCTAACAATATTTGAACATGAGTTTAGTTTCTCATTAAAATTCAATGTCTTCTAAGGAAATTTGGAATATGATGGAAACTAGGAAAGAAGGAAAAAAATTAGCAAGAAAAGAGACTTGCATGGAATCATTGCTGACAAATAGAATATGATTCAATTGGGGTAAAAATTAAGTTTTATCTTTATTTCACATGATTTTTTTTCTACCCTTTATAAGTTATGAGATTTATTTCATCAATGTTAGGATAGATGGTCATTATGTGATGATCTCAAAATATATCTTTATTACTATTAATATGTATTTTGTTTAGAGAAGAAAAAAAAACCTTTTATAGTTTTCTACTCCATGTGAAATTTGATTGTGTTTGACTTTTGGAGACTAAGATCCTCTGATTTTTTGCTCCTTTGATTTGAAGAATATAAGAACTTCACAAACAAATCAGATTGTGCATTGGTTTGAAGAATATAGAAACTTCACTATTTGTTAAATACTCTATTTGAATAAATATTCTGACTTGAAGAATTCAAAATCTTCATCAGGATTACTAAGGCTAAATGATTTGAAAAAGATACAATCCTCATTGTTAGCTAGAAACAGTGTTGTATTTGAGGTTTCTAGAGATTAAAACCATTTTGGTTTACTACTCTGTTTGAATGTGAAACTGATTTGAAGAATATAAAAACATCATCAGAATTCAAGGTTCATTCGGTTAACGATTAAAAGAATATAAAAACTTCATCGTTAAACTAGAAACAAGTTGTATAAAGATTGAATCTTTATTGTTATTATTCTAGATCCTAATTGGCCTGTCTAATTATGACAGAAAGGGAAAAAAACAAGTGACATAAAATTAGTTATTTTTGTGTCTATAATGGGTGTTCCTATGGATTAAATCTCCAATAGAAGGCTTCGTGTTGCCAGTGTGTATTTTGATGGTATACAATTTGAAAGCATGGGAAAAAATATGTGAAAAATAATTTCAAATACTTGAAAAATATTTTTGAGAACATATTTAAAATATGGGGGGTTCTTTACTTGTGATAAAAACAAAATTAGACTTCCTATCTAATTTAAATTTGAAAGTACAAGATATGAAATTTAAGGACAATCTTGTATTATGTTATACCAGCAAAATTCTTGGAGTATATTTGATATTGTGATAGTTGGGTCTCTCTTTACTAGTATATGATATGACTACCACAAAATTATATTACTCGTTCAAAGAAATTGTATTCTTTGATTAAAAAGTATCACTTAAAATATTGTGATTTTTCATTAAAATATATGTCTATTAAAACAAATTTATTTGTATAGACATGAACATTGGTGAAAAGTGATCTGTTATGTTTGTGTTGTAAAACAAACATTTGGGTCATATTGCCCTTATTGGACCGATGAGACTATGGTCATGGGTATTTCTATAACAAATTGAATGTTATGAAAATGTCCTTCTGAAAAGGACATATGGCAAGATGTTGAATCTAAAAGAATGTCTGTATTTGAGAAAGTTATAAAAAGTCAAGAACAAAATATTTGTGGGAAAAAGTTATCTCAAAGAAGGCCTTTTCAAACTTCGTATTTCTGTTTGTTCTTACTTGCTTGAATCAAATTGTTTATGACATAAATTCATGGGACATGTCAATTACAAAACCTTGCAAAAACTGTTCAACTTAGAAGTTTTGCCCAACTTTTAGTGTGATAAATCAAATGTCAAGTATGTGTTGAATCTAAGTATGTTAAGCATACTTATAAAAAAATTTAAAGGAATTTTAATCCCTAATAATTGATTCAGAGTGATATTTGTGATATGAAGTCAACATCATATCTTGGTGGGAAAAAGTGTTTCATAAATTTTAGGGAAAACGGTCTGAAATATATCCGAACTTTGACCGAAATTGCTGTAACGATACCAAACTTTGGAAAGGAGCTTTTACCCCTACACTATTTAATAGTGTATTTTACAGGTATTTATGTGCCCACGTGGACATCATAAATAGTAAGGTGTCCACATGGGCACATATATACCGTTAAAATACACTATTAAATAGTGCAGGGGGTAAAAGGTCCTCCATAAAATTTGGTATCGTAACAACAATTTCAGCCAAATTTGGAGTATTTCTCAGACCCTTTTCCCTAAATTTTATTGGCAATTGCACTAGATATTATTATGTCTATTTGCTGAATGGCAAGGATGAAGCAATAGAAACATATAGGCAATATAAAACTGAAGTTGAAATTAGTTGGATAAA